AAAAAGAAACTCGTCTTAACAGGGCAGTAGAAAACCGTTACAGTAAAAACTGTAGATCTGATTGAAAATTAAACTTTTTGTTTCCATGGAGGCTGTGTGAGTCACTGCCAAGGTAAGGTGTAGTAAGGCTGCATAAACAAAATGATCTCACTCCTAAATGGCAGAGAACTGAACAGTGGCACTATATACCAAAACAGCATTGTTGTGGTGTATAAAATATAAGGCCTATTGAAGTTATGTTTCTTGTTTTTCTGTAGAATCTGACACATCTCTTTATTTTATGTTATTCTTATAAAATGATGTTAATGGTAATTATTTGCTGTTAATTTTAATTTATTTTTTTTAGGAGATGATAGTTCAATTTCTGACCAGCCTCATCTGACCATCTCTGATCAAGTGGAGTCCAGCAAGGAAAGCTTCAAAACAAGAAGTTCCTTAAAACTGTGTGATGTGGAAACCCCAAACTTAGCACCAAGTCTGACTCCTGCAACCCAACCAACTATTTCTTTGATATCCGATGAAAATGCAGATGCCCTGAGTGTGGAATGCCTTACTTTAGTTCCTCCTATTGATCCTCATAGCATCCATACTTTCAGATCCACATTCCAAGCTTCAGTGGAATCTGAAAGTTCTCACCAAGCAGTGAGTGAAACGGATTCTGATGGACAGTGATTACAGAGATACATTGCCATAGTTTTATTTTCAAAGCCTCTTGCTGAAAGCCATAGCATTCAGATGAACGATTTATGCGACTACCATATCCAAATAACCCCATTCAGAAAGTTATTATTTATTACAATATTCCAAAAGATGTCTTCTTGTTTCTACCACAATTAATGTACAAGTCAACCTTCCATGAAGTAAAGGCTACTAGTTTGCTGCTGTAAATGCTTTACCATGACTGCCTCATATTTATGGCTTTGGAATTGGGTAGTGTGACTGAAATTGTTAGCCATTTTAAAACTCGAGTGGGGGTGAATATGTACAGAAATAATCTCATTTTATTTTGTTTACCGTATCCTGTTGTTTTCAGTGTAATTTCTTCAGTTCCCCTTCTCCAGTTTAACAGAAGAGGCATCACTATGAAGAAATTTGCACTATTGGACGTTTTAAAACCCACCCCTCATTTTTATAACCTCAACATTCATGTTCGTTTTTTGGTTGTATTTTTTTTTTTTTTTTTTGCTGTTTAGGAAAGTATAATTTGACCAGATTAGTGACTATTAAAAACTTCCATATTTTGTTTTAAAAAATGTATTTACTAACAGCTTACATGTTATGTGCACAAGATGGAAGTTGATCATTTTCCTTAAGCTTAAATCTGCGAGCTGTGGGGTTTCTCCGAGTATTCCGTGTTACAATGAACATTTCTTACAGAGATGGGAGAAAGACTGATTGCTTAAAGAAGAAAAAATCTGACAGGGTTTTCATCTAAACTTTGATATACTGTTTATTTGGCCTATAGTTAAAGGGAATTCCACCATTCCTTTATTTTTTTAAATAAGCAATATTTTTTCTAATGTCTGTAGTTTGAGTAGACACATTATAGTGACATTGTGGCTCAGATCTGAAGAAAATGTGACTGAAAACAAGAAATCAGAATCCATGTCTTAAACACACCTTTATCTCTTTTCATGCGAAGGCAAGAGTCGTATCCGTTGTACCCCTGTTCCAAATCAAATGCATCAATGTAAATTATTGCGGTAACTCTTTTATTTCTAATGGATTCGGAATACATGTTTAATGCAAGGAAGTAGATGAATTTTATTTGTTCCCTTTAAAAAAAAAAAAAATATGGAAAGGTATATATATTGTCAAATGAGTTTTGGAAAGCTGATAATTTACAAAATCTCAGAATTTAAATTAAAATTTCCAGCTAAATTGAATATATTTTCCAGTTTCTAATATTGTAATTATACAACGAATCACAATTTGCTATTTAGTGAATGGCTATTAAGAAAAGTGTAGAAGTTATTTATTTAATCAAAAAAGAAACCTTGTTCAAGTCAACATGGCAAGGAGGAACCAAACTGGAGGCAGAAAGAAACACATTCAAACATCTACAAACACTTTGTAGATACTTCCAGTTTTAACAAAGATAGCAAAAGCTTGTTACTTTGCTGTTTGTTTGATAGAGAATTACAGAGGCTAATAACATTGGATCCTACCAAGCAACACTGTAGTTTTCTTGCACATGATAGAATTCATTATTTTTTTGTCATTAATACATTGCCTAAATTGGCAGACTTCTTTTTAAAGGGAAAACTTTTTGATATTCTTCCTAACATGAAAATGTAAGATACAAAATGTACTTCAACCAAAGCCAGTGCTTCATCAAGTATGAATATCTTGTTTTATACAACAATTGAAAAGGAACCATGTTATACTTTTGAACTGAAATTTGGACATTTTTAAGGCATTGGTAATTCTGTAAGCGACACATAAAGGGGTTTACGCAACTTATTTTTGATGATAGCATGTTTGCTTTTTCAATTGAATTTCTGTACAAATTTTAATAAAGATTGAACTAAGTATGTCACACAATTTTTGAATTATATTAACTTTCGCTATTGAAAATACAATGCATCTGTTGTTAAACTGCATCATTATTACCATAGAGCCTAGTTCCCACTAAGAAAACTGATCCAAGAACACAGGTGAATCCAGGGAAGGTGTGCTTCTCCCTTCGTAAACGGCAATTCCACATGCAGCCTGTCTTTCTACATATTACTCCCATGCTTTCCCAGCAGTGCATGCCTGTACAGTACATGGCTCAGGGCTACGACATAATGATGACTATCAAAACCGTTCCCCGCAGTACACCACTGGAAAGCCAGGAAGCAGTGTGCAGATGTGCACACGCTATTTAGTGCATAAACAAATAAAACTGACCTCACAAGCAGTAGACATATGTCTGCACGTCTGGGTGCCTCCCCCAATGGTATTGGGGGCTAAAATGCTCACGCCCACCGGAATCTAGACTCCTGGGCACTTAAAGGACTTCAGCAGTATTTCAGAAATTTGCAAAATGCAAATATTACAAAGAAAAGTGCACACCTTGCATGTAAGGTGTGTTTTGTCTACTATAGTGGACTTCCTAAAGGACCACAACTACAAATCAAATAAAAAAAACATTAAGCCCTCCCAGCTGATTCCTATTTAAATGTTCCCACTATTTCTCCGTCTGTAGATGTCTTATCTCCCCGCCCCCTGGGTGTTCCTCCTCCAGGAAGAAGAGTGAAGACATTTAAATGGTGTCTCTGTAATAAAGTTTAATAAAACAATTAGCAGTAGCAAGCAGGTTTTTAAAGAAGGCTGTAAGGGAGAATGGACAAATAATCCTGTAACCAGATGTAAACCAGCCAATATCCCACTGCATGCATAAAATGATACACTAAAAACCACTCACCTTACACATGGAATCTCAAAAAGGTGATTAGTAAATACAAAGCATGTGTTCACTTCAAACAATATAAAAAAAACAAGTGTAAAACACAATACAAAAGCATGAACCATAGCTTTAAAACCACTCATTTTCAGTAATAAACACAGCCTCTTAACTTCTTATTTTTCTGCATACATTATTAAAAAATAAGTTGTAATATACAAAAGTGTGAATGTTAAACGGGAAAAAAGGCTATATAGTATAAAATTATTTTATTACAAAAACAAAGAACACATTAAAAAGCCTACAAAATATGTTGTTCGTACCAAGCTGTTTTAAACCCACTTTGAGCACCTCATTACTAAGCTCTGCAGATAGACTAATCGTCAATTTCAGCTGGCTTAATCCTCTGTTCCCCCACTTATGTCCGCCCTATGAAGTTTGGAAATCCGTCTTCCTGTTTGCAGGAAACCGCTTGCAGTATTTTTTGTATAAACCACTCATTAGTTCTTAGAAGATACAATTGCTTTCTGAAATCATTACTGTTATACATCCACATCAATTAATGTTTTTTTACATATATTAAAACACCAAACATGGAAAAACCATCTCTGCACACATCCCAAGACTTTCTGTAGCAAGAGGAGAGGAAGGTGCAGCAGCAGCAGCCTCTGCTTGTCCTGGAGGCGAACATGGACTAGGACCTCAAGCTAGTCAGAGATTGGGGCAAAAAAGACAACGCCAGGCCCATCAGTCGACCCTTGAAGAACTTGGTACTGTACATGCAAGGAGCATGTCAAAACAACATAAGCAAAAGTATGCAGCATACGGTGACAAGATTGATAGGCCAGCTCATTGCTAACCCGGCCACTGTAGCGACCAGCTTTCCCAGAAAAACGAGTGCCTTGTGCCATATAACCACATTGGCATTGCCTAGGAGACATAATGCCCTCTGTGCTCACTCACGCACTATATGCAGATCAAATTTGCCACTAGTTAGTGCTTCATCTGCTAAAATGAATATTTGTATGATCGGTCTGGCAATATCCAAAAGTTTGTCTTGTGTAGTCTTTAAACCCTGTTCATTGCCCTTATGTGGGTCCTTTCCTGGTTTTCTAAGAAAAGTAACTAGCATAGGGTCAAAACCTGGCATTAATACCACCTTATCTAGAATAGTAGTACATCCAGGGACATACAGCCCTCGATTTAACTCGTATTTCCTTTTCTAAAGGATTGCGCAGCCACATTTTATAAAAAAATATGATCTGGAGGTGCCCATTCGGCAGGGCAAGGGTGCCGAATTATACTTGTATCAAAGAGCAGAAGACTGGTAGCACCCAGGAGGATGTCTCTTGATGGCTCTCGAGACTCGGGTTTATTAGAGTCTGTGTCATTAGGGGGCTTTTGAGTAATATAAGTTTCTTTAACAAATTCTTATGTTGAGGAATCTCTATGCACATTCACCAGGAGATTCCCATCAAAATAATTAGTGCAATAGTCATCTGTCACATGAACTAGTGGGCGTTTCAGGATTCCAGGTGGGCGGTAGGGATTTCGGCGGCTAAACCCTCAGATTGAGAGAGTGGGTGGCAGGGCCGGACTGGCCCAGCCGGGACTGGGCTGACAGCCCTAATGATTATTCTGATAAATCCTCCCCTCGGACTGTGCCAGCCTGTCAGTCCGAGGGGAGGGAGGAGGGAGTAGCTGGGGGGTGGTGCGGCTGCCAGCGGCTGCAGGGAGACCTGTCAGTCTCCCTGCACAGTCTGAAATCATTCCGGCTGCATGCCCCGCCCCCAAATGGAAGCCCCGCCCCCGCCCACAAGCTCCGCCCATACACGCGTTACTGGGAAGCTGCCCACCGGACTAAGAGGACACTGAAAGGTATTTACTTTTTTACAGCCCCCTACCCACTATACTGCCCCTCTACCCACTCCACAGCCCCCTTATCCACTATAGAGCCCCCCTACCCACGATTCCCACTAGTTAACTAACACAAACAATTGGGGGAAAAAAAAAAAAACTGTTTGCTGCCAATATAAATTACTGGTGGAATTTTATTCTAACATGTGGTTATCCTCAGTTTTGTCTGATTAGTATCAGATCCCCTGCTATCTGTGCAGGAAAGGGTTTAATGTGGTAAAATATCTTTTACCCTTGAGATTATAACTCCAATAACATATGAGATGCAGCATCAAGACAAGAGCTGTTAGACTGAGATGTACCTTCCTGTAAATCATCTATATTTGGATCAAATTTTTCTATGCTGGCCTGGTCTTATAAGGGTTAAATTGGCAGCTACTAATACAATTGAGTTACACCTACATTTAATTGATCCCCTATTTCACATTTGTGATTTGTACGATTCGGGTCAGGTGCAGAGCAAGGATTCTGGTACTAAGCTGTCTTAGAGTCGTTCTCTTTCTTTCCTATGACTGTTACCAAGTCAGTCTCTGAACATTCAAGCATCAGCTTGTTGGCCCGTCTGTGGATTTCTAAGTTCCGTCTTGGCTTTGAGTGGGGTAATAAGTAGTTCCTCAATTGAACCAATCAAGTGTTTAAAACTGTTTATGTTTCTAAGTTTATATTTTAAAAGGTTTACAGGTGTCCTGTAAAGAATGGACGTCTATAAAGAAGAAGTTGAATATTAACAGAAAAATATATGAGAATTTGAGTTTGAGGTCGTTGGAAAGTTTTATGCTAGAGATAAACCTGACAAATTGGTATAAAGATTTTAATTATAAGATAAAAGACCTCTATATGGACCATCAATTGAAAAGTTTTGATGTTTTGAAAAATTGGTTAGATTTACCCTCTAGAGAACTATTTAACTTCCTTCGTATTAAGAGTTATCTGAAAGATAATATACTGGTTCTAGAAGGCCGATTTGGAATAATGTTTAGGAAACTTTTTTCGGGGGATCCTGTCAAAAGGGTTTTCTCTATTGCAGTTGAATTAATAAAGATGATAGGGACTCCTCTTATCCCTAAAGCTTTAACTAAATGGGAAACCGATCTAGCAATTTTGATTCAATTTAATAGTTGGTGTAAATCCTTTGTAAGGACCAAAAAAATTATTCATTGTTGGAATATTTTAGAGACCTTTATTAAGGTGTTGTATAGATGGTACTTGGTTCCTATTAGACTTGCTAAAATTTCTATTACTAACCTGTCTAATTGTTGGCGATGTTTTCATCTTGATGGCTCAATGGTTCATAGATGGTGGTCCTGCCATCGAATTAAATCTCTCTGGATGAATACATAAATAGATTGGGAGGTTCTTATTTGGAATTCAAACCGGAAATCGCTCTACTCCATCTTTTGGGCTCAGAAATAAAGGATAATTTTGATATTGTGATTATACACTGCTTAATGGCTACTAAAATATTAATTGCTAGATTTTGGAAAAGTATTGATATTCCTACGAGAGATCAAGTTAAAGCAAAACTTTTATTCCAAGTCGAGAGGGAAAAGGGATTAATGTCTATGAGAGAATATTCTAATTTTAAGGCTTTGACGTTCTATTCTAGTCTTGTCCAAAAGACAAAAAATTAAGAGGCTTTAAGGTATATGATTTGGTGGGGTACGATTTCCTTGCGGTTGGTATGGTGTCCTCATTGGGGGTTCTATCATTAGTCTCCTTGGCCTTATATAGCATTTTCTTTCCTTTAAGTGTGGTTTTGGATCTGCAATACATACGACCAGTTTTGTCTTTGTTTTTGTTTATGTTTAATATATTTATAAGGTTTTGTATAGGCCGTTTTAGGACCATGATATACAGGCGAGGGGATGTTTATGCTACCAGATTATGTCCTAGACGGCTTATTGATCAAATTTGAAATAGAACATTGTATTTATGTATGTTAAATGGGGATGGGAATCCTTATTGTTTTTCTCTGTAAGGCTCCCTCCCATGGGTGTTGTCTCTGTCTATTAATATTTTCATGAAAAAATGTAATAAAAAGAATTAAACAAAAAAAATAAAAGAAAATAAAAATAGTTTAAGGAAGTATTACTTTACTGAGAGGGTAGTGGATGCATGGAATAGCCTTCCAGCGGAAGTGGTAGAGGTTAACACAGTAAGGGAGTTTAAGCATGCGTGGGATAGGCATAAGGCTATCCTAGCTATAAGATAAGGCCAGGGACTAATGAAAGTATTTAGAAAATTGGGCAGACTAGATGGGCCGAGTGGTTCTTATCTGCCGTCACATTCTATTTTTCTATATATTCTACTATATATCTTCTGAATCAGAGACTTGGTGTGCAGGAAAATTTGTTTCAGTAGAAACTTACTCATGAAAGGCTGCAAGAGCTTTTGATATTCACTCTGCAATAGTGGAGTAGAGTCATGCTCGCAATTCTGAAGAAATAGCAGGGTCTGGCTGATCAGATATAATGGCCTTAATAAAAGTAGAATTTAAACATCAAAAATATATACAATATAATTTAAAGATCTTATTTAATATTTATTCTTTATCTTAAATTAAAAGGCAGGAAAGCACTTGAGTATTTTATATGGGGTTCAACCAAATATTGGATATAAGTTCCCTTGGGGTTAATCAAAATTCAGTGGGAATCACCCATGGAATAAACAGTGAAGTGGGGGTTGCCCACACTGTAATCAATAAGTGGGGATCAACCACAACTAAAGACAAATTCTGGAGTTACCCACAGATATAGATAGTTTAGGTGGGGGTCACCCACAAACAACCCTAGAGTAAGAATACAAATACATACAATAGGTGGATCGCACTCTTTGAAATCTCTAAAAGAGAAAAAAATAAAAACAACACAATAGTATAATACAGTAAACAAATGGATATCCACAGTATAAATGTAGATGATCAGGTACTCACAAACCGAGAGCCAAACAAGAACATGTGGCTCTCATGGGAATAGCGCTGGGACTATTTGTAGGATGTCCCCTTCCTTCTGTGGATCTTCCAATGACCAGAAAGAACAAGCAGGAAACACTTACTTGAAACAGTAAAGTGTTTATTATTCCCAATAAAGGCAGGAGCAAAAATAAGGAGAGTATCTCCAATAATACTTAAAATAGTCCAGTGTAATAAAAAGAGTCCAATACAGGAGTCTCTGAGTTACCGAAACGCGTTTCGCCCTATAATCAGGGCTTCCTCAGTCGGTGATGCTGTGTTGCTGCTGTATTTTCCTTTTATACCGGTGGTTTGCCGGTATTCAGTCTCTGGAACGCACAGATTTCGCGGTGGAACGCATTTCCGGTTTCGCGGTGTGTCACTTCCGGGTTATGACGTCATCTCGCTGAAGACGTCGGCTCGGTCTGATTATAGGGCGAAACGCGTTATAAGAAACAGGGTTGATTCTCCTAACCACACGAAAAGGACCAAGGAATCTCTGAGCATACTTCATGCTGGGAACCTTCAACCTGATGTTGTGTGGGGATAACCAACCCGATCACCCACCTGGTAAACTGGATTGGCACTCCGCCGTTTATCCGCATGAAACTTAAAGCAAGCAGCCGCAGTTTCAAGAGCGGAGTGAACCTTAGTCCAGGTATCACAAATAGAGGTAAGGTGATCATCCAGAGTAGGGATAGCCGTATCAGAAAACACAGCAGGGAGAACAGCATGATGACCCGCCCGTATTGACAAAAAATGGACTATGCCCAGAACAGTCATGGGTAGCGTTGTTCCTTGCAAATTCAGCCCAGGGCAATAATTCAGCCCAGTCTACTATTCACGAAGCAATGTAAATACAGCTCAAGTGATTGGTTAGCTCTTTCAGCCAAACCATTAGTTTGGGGATGGTAAGCAGAGGAAAATGACAATTCAATGTCCAACTGTTTATTGAATGCCCTCCAGAACTGTGACACAAATTGTGAACCCTTGTCAGACACAGTATTTTGAGGAATACCATGTAGCCTGACAATATCACATATAAATATGTGCACCAGGTCCTGAGACAATGGCAATTTTTTAAGTGGCGTAAAGTGTGCCATTTGTGAAAAACGGTCAACTACCATGAGGATGGTAGTATATTCATTGGAACTAGGCAGTTCAACAATGAAATCCATCAATAAATGAGACAATGGGATACTGGGTATGGGAAGTGGCTGTAACAATCCACACGGAAGTTTATGAGGAACCTTCGAAACTGCACAGATAGAGCAGGCTTCTACATAATCTTTAATATCCCTCCTGAGTGACTCCCACCAAAGTGACCTGGAAATGGCAGAAACAGTTTATTATTACCCAGATGCCCAGCGGTCACATTGTCATGGAATACCACCTGTCAGGCAATGGTATAAACAATTTATCTTGAGGATTGTTGCAAGGTGTCTGGGGCTGAGCCGTCATGATAGCACGGAGCAAAGGGGACGATAAAGAAAGGACAGTGGATGCAATAATACACTCAGGAGAAATAATAGGGGATGTCTCTTGTTCTAGATCTGATTCAATGTCAAATTGCCTAGACAAGGCATCAGCTTTAATGTTCTTAGAACCGGGTCTGTAGGTGATAATGAAGTTAAAGCTAGACAAAAATAATGACCATCTAGCTTGTCTAGAATTCAGTTGTTTAGTATCCCCAATATATGCCAGGTTCTTGTGATCAGTAATAATCAGAATGGGATCCTTGGAACCAGGGGTCAAGTCCTAGGGAAAAAAGTGTGGGAACTCACCCCACCCCCTAAAAAAATAAATAAAAAAAATTACACATATAGTGCAGTGCAGGGTGCGTATAATGAATGTAGTGTGTTTGTAGTGAATGCAGAGTATGAATAATGAATATAGTGAGTGCAGAGTGTGTATAATGAATGTAGTGTGTTTGTAGTGAGTGCAGTGTGTATAATGAATGTAGTGTGTTTGTAGTGAGTGCAGTGTGTATAATACATGTACTGTGTTTGTAGGGAGTGCAGAGTGTGTATAATGAATGTAGTGTGTTTGTAGTGAGTGCAGTGTGTATAATAAATGTACTGTGTTTGTAGTGAGTGCAGAG